AATGGTAAATTAGCACTAGCTTCAACTTGAAATCATCAGCTGTATTATCCTCCAAAAAGAGTCAGCCTGTCCTTTAAAGCCAAGCATTGACTTCTCTTTAGCTATAAGATGGCATATTCTTACAGTAGAAACCTGTTTGTTTACACTGAAAATCTGTTGTTTAGCAGAGCTGCCTTCATCAGTTAACTTAGCTAGATCTTCTGGATCTCTTGCTGCAGTTTCTACATCAGCACTTGCTGTTTCACCTGTCACCTTTATGTTCTGGGAGACAGCATCCTTCCTTAAACTTTGTGAACCAACCTCTGTAAACCTCAAACTCTTCTCCTACAGCTTCCTCACCTCTTTCAGCATTCACAGAATTGAAGAAAGTTAGGGCCTTGCTCTGGATTACGCTTTGGCTTAAGAGAATGCTGCAGCTGGTTTGACCTTCTATAGAGACCACTCAAACTTTCTCTGTGTCAGCAACATAGCTATTCCACTTTCTCATCATTCGTGTGTTCACTAGCATAGCACTGTTAATTTCCTTTGAGAACTCTTCCTTTGCATTCACAACTTGGCTGACTGGCATGAGAGGCCTAGCTTTTGGGTATCTCAGCATTTGACATGCCTTCCTCACTAAGCTTAATTATTTCCAGCTTTTTTTTTTTTTTTTTCTGAGATGGAGTCTTGCTCTTGTCACCCATGCTGGAGTGCAGTAGTGCAATCTTGGCTCACTGCAACCTCAGTGTCCTGGATTCAAGCTATTCTCCTGCCTCAGCCTTCTGAGTAGCTGGAATTACAGGCTTGCACCAACACGTCCAGCTAATTTTTGTATTTTTAGTAGAGACAGAATTTTGTCACATCGGCCAGGCTGGTCTCGAACTCCTAACCTCATGTGATCCGCCCTCCTCAGCCTCCCAAAGTGCTGGGATTACAGGCATGAGCCACTGTGCCTGGTTGTTTTGTTTTATTTTTGTTTTTAAGACACAGTCTGGCTCTGTCATCCAGGCTGGAGTGCAGTGGCAGGATTTATAAACTTATAAAGAGAAAAGAAAAGAATACAAATCACCAGGATCAGGAATGAAAGAATGGTTGTCACTACAGAATCTACAAAGAAGAAAGGTAAAAGAAAGTAACACAGGAACAACTTTACACCAAATTTTCTAATTTAAGTGAAATAGAAAAATTTCTTTAAAACCGATACACAATAAAACAAAATCTGAATATTTATATATGATACATAGGTTTATATATATCTTACATATAAATAGGTCATATATAAATATATATATGAATTTTCTTATATATGTATACATATAAATTTATGTGTGTGTGTGTGTGTGTGTGTGTGTGTGTGTGTGTTGCCTAGTTTGATGCCAAACTCCTGAGCTCAAGTGGTCATCCCTTTCTGGCCTCCCAGGGTGTGTTAGAATTACAGGTGTGAGCCACTGCACCCTGCCCAAATTTTTGTGTGTGTATGTATATATATATATATAGTGTGTGTGTGTGTGTGTGTGTATATATATATAGTGTATGTGTGTATATATAGAGAGAGAGTGTGTGTGTGTGTGTGTGTGTGTATATATATATATATATATACACACACAAATTTGGGCAGGGTGCAGTGGCTCACACCTGTAATTCTAACACACCCTGGGAGGCCAGAAAGGGATGACCACTTGAGCTCAGGAGTTTGGCACCAAACTAGGCAACACAGTGAGACCCCATCTCAACAAAATTGGCTGGGCATGGTGGCACACACCTATAGTCTCAGCTACTTGGTACGCTGAGACAGGAGGATCACTTAAGCTCGGCAGGTCAAGACTGCAGTGAGCTATGATTGGGCCACTGTACTCCAGCCTGGGCAACAGAGCAATACCTTGTCTCCAAACCACCCCCTCCAAACACACACAGCAAACACATGAAAATTTTAAATTGTTATTAAAAACTTTCCAACAAAAAAATATCTGGCTCAGGTAGTTGCATTTAGGTCTAATCTATCAAACAGTTAAGAAAGAAGTAACTACAGCATTCCACAAATTACTTCTGAAAACAACTTTTAATAATAATACCTCATTTAATGAGACCAGATAACTCTCACTGAAATCTGACACAGGCATTCCAAAAATAAAATTCCTACCAGTATCTATTAAATAGCTTCAAAACGTATTAGGAAACAAAATACAGCAAAATATAAAAAGGATACATTATGGCCAAGGAATATCTAAGGAATTCAAAGTTGATTTAACATTTGAAAATCTTACAAGTAATTTACCTTATTAAAATTAAAAGAATAATGGTGAAAAGCCTTATGATTATCCCCAGAGATGAAAAAAAAAAGTATCTGGCAACATTTAACATCCATTCACAGTAAAACAACGACAACAAAATCTCAGTGAAATAGGAATAGAAGGAAATTTCTTCACTCTGGTAAAGGGAATTGATGTAACTGATGAAAACTACAACTAATGCCATACTTCAATTTTTTTAGAAAAGGAGTATTTCAAAGCTTTTATGGAAATCTCAAAGAATGTAAACAATACAGATGGAGACGATTTTTTAAAACAAGACTGTAAACTAAAAGTTATAAAAGATATATTTGAATATATAAAAGTTTAAAACTTATGGATCATAATTATAAAGACAACAGACTAACAGAAGAGTAGAGAGAGGAGAATTAATTCTATAATCTACAAAACACTTTATAAATTAATCAGAAAAAGGCAAAGAACTCAAGCAAGACTTAGGAATAGACAATTCACAAAAAAGCAAATCTACATGTCCAATAAATTTACGAAAAGGATGTTCAAATTCATTAGTTAGAAAATACAAACAATGATTACACCTGTAGACAGTTCGAGACTCTCACATACTGTTGGTGGAAATGTACTACAGCCTTTCTGGAACTCATTTTGGCAATATCTATTAAAGTTAAAAATACATATCCCTTTAATCCAGCAATCCCACATCTGGAAATCTGTCCCACAGATGAAAAAAGGCTTATGTTCTTTGATCTAGCAATTGTATCTTGAGAACCATTCTCTAAGAAATAAAATTCCTACTACACAAGGACACATATAACAGGATGCTCTTCAGCAATGTGTGTGGTAGGAAAATAAGAAAAACAAATACCACTGATATGAAAATTAATGAATAAATTATGGTAAAACTATCCCATTTCTCATTCAGTATTCATCACAAAGATTGATTTAGATCTTTATTGGGTGACTTGGAATCATATTTCCATGGAGTATTATTGAGTGAGAAAGATAAGAAGCAGAAAAGCGAGCCATTAAAGTGATAAACCAAATAAACGTTACAAAAAAAGCTCTGCTTTTATTTCTGTCTGCTGTATCATATTGTAGAAGATAAATCTAAGACTGTTAAGATGGGTTGGCTTTCAGTCATCAAGACAGGGCAGGAGGGCCTATGTGTGGGAAATGTGTAGACCCCAGCCAAAATAATAATAATAATACTTTTAGAAAACAGGTAAATAATGCTAGGTGCAGTGGCTCATGCTTATAAACCCAGCACTTTAGGAGGTAGGAGGATCGCTTGAGCCCAGGAATTCGAGGTCTGCCTAGGCAACAAAATAAGATCCCATCTCTGCAAAAAAATTTTTTTTTAATTTCTAAGTATTCATAATATAAAACTCAAGTAAAATGATGTATTAGTTTAAATATATACCAAAGAAACTAAATAAAAACGAATCTTATAAAATGCTTATAACATGGTCCTTGGAAACCTTTCCACTTTAATCTCAATCTTAACTTAGAAGTTCTGCAATTTAATCTTGATTTTCAAGTTCTTGTCCTCTATATAGACAAAATAAGAGCCTCCAGTCTGTCTTCCTACTGAAGTTAAATTTTAATTATTATCTAAGTAGACAATAATGTCTGATTCTGACGATGATCCTGAAGGAAGTATCACAAAATCTGTCACAAAACAAGAACATACACAACATCACTTGGCCATATCCTTCCATGGAGCTTGCTCTGAAACTCCAGCCAGCTGTTTCCTCACCAAGGAGGTAATTTGCACTAAATATAGTGCATGAAATCAGAAATGGTAAAGTTAGATTAATGTTCAGTATTAAATGCTGCTGACATCTCAATGTAAATCTAAACTCAATAAAGTTGTTCACATTGTTTTTAAAAATAACGTCACAGATTCACATCACCAGAAAAATAAATGTTCCTTTTATTCTAAAGGCTCTCAGTGCACGAAAAACAATCAGATTTTTAGGTAATTTCCAAAATCCAACATTACGATGAATAAATTTTACTAGGAGGAAAAAATGAGCAGAACAAATTTCAGTCAGCATAAATTACTTAAATGCAAGTTCAAAATATGTTGATATTATTAAAATATTAATTATATATCTTTGTATAGCTTATAAAGTTGTCCAAAGAAAACATTTCATCTACTTCTAAGTAAAAAAACAATGTTTTCAATTAGAATAAAACAGATTGTAAAGAATGATACTTAAGAGTTCACTTGGAACTTCAATAGTGTAGATACTATAATAAAAACCCCACAGTCAACATCATGAATTATCTCTTCCTTTATCTTTAATATGACATTCAGCAATAGGAAGCCCTAATTTCTAGGTATACTGTTTTCCATTTTCACTTGGAAGATCAGCAGGTAGTCTACAAAAAGGAAAAGAGGGGGAGGTACTTTGGCTCTATTCTAGCACTAAATGGAAACAAATAAGCAAAGAAAAGAAACAAATACTGTATACCATACTGGTGAGGAAGAGAAATCTAGACTTAGAGAAATGAGTAGTAAAAACTGCAATGAAGACAGTTAACTTGTTTCAAAATAAAGGACATGTTTTAAAAATCGGAAAATGTTTTAAAGAAACAAATATATGCATATACACAGAAGAAAACAAAGATTATATAAAGAAAGAAAAACAATGTAAGTCTTAAAAATACATGGGTGTGAGTCATTAGAAATTTCTAAGACTAAAAGGTCAAAATAATTATTCCAGAATAAGAATATCCACATAAAGTTACCTTTTCAAATTCACCATTGCCCAAGGAATCCCAGTAGGTGTGTTAAAGGCAGGAAGGAGTTTCTCAGCCAATTGCACTGCTTTAATCTTGAATATCTGAGATTTAAAACATGGAATATTCATAAATTATAGCCACCAGTAAGCATTTACTTAATGCGCTCTCTCTCTCATAGTATACATAGCACAAGGTACTGACTGAGTACATGAAAGCACAAGGTGGGATAAAGCATCTCATTGGTACCATGCAGCATATGGCAAAGAGAGAATACGTTTGCAAACTGGATACCAAGGAAAGAAAGCTAACCATGCAAAGGCCTGAAACCACAATTAATTAAAAAGCAAGGACTTAGTTTTGGTGTTGATATTCTCTCTATTTTCAGCTGGCAAAAACTAAGAGGAAACATTAGACTATGGACTTTTCATCCAAGGTAAACAAGTTTAGTCCAAAATATAAGCAAAAGAAAGAGGTAACTCAATTTGGATAAATGCCCTTAAACTACTATGAACATGTTATGTCTCAAAATTTTCCATCAAAGTTTAACCATATTATAAAAAAGAAAAGAAAACATTTGAGTTCACATGTTAAATTTACTTTGAGAGTTATAAATGCTTCATTGTGGCCGGGTGCGGTGGCTCACGAGGTTAGGAGTTCGAACCCAATCTGGCCAACATAGTGAAACCCCATCTCTACTAAAAATACAAAAATTAGCTGGGCATGGTGATGGGTACCTGTAACCCCAGCTACTTGGGAGGCTGAGGCAGGAGAATGTAAACCCGGGAGGCGGAGGTTGCAGTGAGCCAAGATTGCACCATTGCACTGCAGCCTAGGCAACAGTGCAAGACTCTGTCTCTAAATAAATAAACGCTTCATTTTTCAGTCCCAAATGCTGCTTTTTTGGTATCCAAAAACAATAATTTCCTAAATACAGTGGCATCCAAGCTTTTAAAATCATGTAGATAGTAAAATTTCTACTATTTTCTTAACATGCAGTATTATGAAGACGTATATAATAAAATTTCTACTATTTTCTTAGCATACCCAATAGATAAGTGTGCATACTTAACTTTAGAGACCACTCACTTACAGATTCCAAATTGTGACTGGGTCATAATGTTCTATTAGAAAAAGTAGCACACCCTCCTATACGTATCAAGCCTATCCCCTCCTCTCAAATGGTCTCCAAATTGAATGGTTATTTAAAGCTCCAACTTTTCACTGCAGCCAAATAATTTGATAAAAATAGTATTAGATTCTTCTAATAATATAGTAAGTAGTTGAAGATCTGGAATAAGTCAAAATTTTGAGTTGAGACTATCACAAAGCATACCAACATTACTGTGGATAGAAAACATTAGAGAGAAATATGTACAAGCAGATAAGGAAATATCATAGAGGTAATGTATCCCCATTACTTCTGTGTCTTCACCCCCTCCTTCATGTACTCTGCTCCATTCACTGTCCCTCATTAAGATGTTCCAAAGTTCCCTCAGTAAGGCAAAAGCTACTTAACAGAATTTTTAATTAGACATACTCACACATCTACAATTTATCATTTCCTTCAGTATCTACCTTAACATCAAAACCCCAAAGAAAAACATTATCATTGAAGGTGAAAGTTGCATAATTTTCTCATATTCATCTCAAGTAGGAAAAGCAAATGTAAAAATCAGTTCTCTCTATTAATATTTTTTACATGTTAGTAAAGACAAGTTACCTTATATAGCAAAAAGTATTGATTATTTACCATGAAGACAAAGGAATCAACTTTCTTATGTAATAACTAATATTAATACTACACATTTGTTAATCACACAACTTTGTATCACATCTTTTCTAAATGTAAACTAAAATTTAAAGTGATGAAATGACCTACAAATATAAACTTTTTGTAAATAGAAAGCATGCTCAATTCATTTCCAGAATAAACCAATAACATATTGTCTAATTTTCAGCTAACGATCTTGTCATTAACAGCAATTAACAACAGTTATAGCAGACAGGTCTAAAAGAAAACAATACCGTAATGTCATTGAGAAAAATTCTCTTACAAAGTATATAAATCTTAATTTATTCACAAATATATAAACTCTTCAATAATATATTTTAGGTTTCTCTTCCCTATTTTCAGAAAAATATTTTGGTAGGCAATAGCAACAGCAAATTTAAAACAAATTAGTTTTCAGTATGCAATGCAGGCAAATAATACAAAATCCAAAAATTATCAAAAGTAAAAATTAAGTCTCTTTTTCAGTTCTGTCCCTCAACCACACAATTCCTTTTACAATGCAACCATCTATTAGCTTCTTTGTATTTTGTGCCTCATCAGTTCCATGGTACACATGGTTCCTAGTCATGTCACATAAAATCCTCATTCCCAAACCCTTCTTAAAATAGAATTTCTGTTGAAATTCACACATACTCAGAGTCTCTTTCTCTAACACAGAATATCATACATTCTGAACTTGCTTCTTTAACTTATTGTTTTGTACCCTGAAGAGCTTTCCAAATCAGCCTTCAAAGGGTTACCATCTCATTCTCTTTGGTGGCTGCAGAATTTCCTCTTTTATGGATATACTATAATTTATTTACTCAGTCCTCTATTGATGGACGTTTAATTTGTTTCTACAGTATATGGCTATGTAAAATGAATTTCAGAAGTGGATCTGTTGTTTCAATCAGTAGGAACATTTCTAATTTTAATGTTACTGCCAATTTGCCCTTCATATGTGTTTTGCTAATTTATACTTCTACCAGCAATTTTGAGTGGCTGTTTCATGTTATCTTTGTTAGCACAAAAGTTACCAAACTGTTGACTACTACCAATCTGATAGTAGAAAAGGATACTCCATTGTCATAACTCTCATTTCTTTTATTATGAATGTGGCAGGTACTCAAAATCCATTCAAATCCTCTTTCAAGTATTGCGGAGAATGGAAACTTATACATAACATTTGCCAGAGTCCACTCCAGCTAAGGGTCTAGATAGGACCAAAGCACGCCAATTATAAACAAGTATGTGACATTTAGAGGGAAGAAGTGAGCACACTGGAGCAGTGGTCACATGATGGGAGACTGCTTGTCTGGTAAGCACTGTGGTGAAGGTATTTGATTCTTCTGTAGTAGCTCTAACAGAAGTTCTAGTGACTAGTCTCTGGCATCATAGATACTTAGGGGTAATGAAGACAACAGAACTGGTACTCATCAGCTACATGGGACACTTAAGCATTTCTCCTGGCTGCAGGGATCCAAGTGTGTAACAAAAGTATCTGATTTCCTAACTTTGCAAAGACTGTCAGCTACTCAGTACCCTCTAATAAATCACGGGCTAAAATGGATTCTGGTTCCTGCAACTAGGACTGTTGACTGATAAAAATGATGAAAGAAAATAATTTGCAGGTTCAAGAGTCTCAAAAGTACTTAAAAAGAAGACTTCCAAGCATTTCATTTATAGAAAAAACTTTTATGTATTCTGTGTATGTAAAATGTAAAACCTTCCAGATATTTTTATCAGAATAAATTATAAGTAATAGAACTATGTTAAAACCAGTCCTAAGTTTAGAAGAATTAGGATTAGAAGAATTGACCCTAGGTTCAGAAGAACTGAAGAAATAAAATTTAACAGACACTGTGTGGCAAGATTATGAAGAGCTTTAAAGTACAAGTAATGAAAATGAGGCTGGGCATGGTGGCTCACACCTGTCATCCCAGCACTTTGGGAGGCCGAGGTGGGTGGATCATTTGAAACCAGCCTGGCCAACATGGTGAAACTCTGTCCCCACTAAAAACACAAAAGTTTGGCCAGGTGTGAAGGTGTGCACTTGTGGTCCCAGCTACTCAGGAGGCTGAGGCTGGATAATCACTTGAACCCAGGAGGCAGAGGTTGCAGTGAACCAAGATAGTACCACTGCACTCCAGCCTGGGCAACAAAGCGAGACTCTGTCCCTCAAAAAAATAAAAAGAAAAAAGAAAAAACCAAAACAGTTAAGACAACACAACAGCCAACACAGAACCACCGTAGGTTCTTGAGGAGGGATGTGACATTAGAATCTATATATGCTTCTTATGCTTGTTTTCTTTATTAGAATATTTAAATTACTAAGGTAATATTTTCACAGCCTATTCTCAATCTAGCAGTCGATGTGGGAATGTTATACGGAAGTCAACAGTTTAGAACCCTCAAATGGCTCCCTATCTCACTGAGAGTAAAAGCCACAGTCCTTAGAAAGGGTATATACCTATATCAATGATGTATCCCCATTACCTTCTAGGGCTTTACCCACTCCTTCATGTACTCTCCTTCATTCACTCTGTCCCTCATGCACTCTACATCAGCTCCACTGGCCTCTTTTGTTCTTCTCTAAGGATGCTAGGTATGTTTCTGTCTCACCGTCTTTTCATTTGCTATGCCTAGTAAATGTTCTTACAAAAATATCCTCACCCTCTAATCTCCTTCAGGTCTTCACACAAATGCTACCTTTTAACTGGCTCCCTAACCATCCTATTTGAAATTTAAAATCACTTTTGCCCCATCCCGCTTTATTTTTCTCCTTGATGCTTATCGCTAATAGTGTATGTTCCATCATGTATAATGAAAGAGATACGTGCTAAGAAACGCATCGTTAGACAATTCTGTCATTGGGCAAACATCATAGGATATACTTACACAAACCTAGATGGTAATGCCTACCATACATCTAGGTTATATGGTATAGCCTGTGACTCCTATACTACAAACCTATATAGCATGTTACTGTATTGAATGTTGCAGCTAATTTTAATACAACGGTAAGTATTTACTTACCTCAACATATCTAAACATAGAAAAAATACAGTAAAAAATGCAGAATACCAGATTAAAAATGGTACATCTGTACAGGGCACTGACCATGAATGAAACTCACAGGACTGGAAATTCTCTGGTGAGTCAGGGAATAAGTGGTGAGTGAATGTGAGAACTAAGACATTACTGAACACTACTGTAAACTTAAATACTGTACACAGGCTACACTAATTTATGATTATCCTTCAAAATAGTGAGTTAACCTTGCCTTACTGTAACCTTACTATATAAACTTTTTCATTTTAACTTTTTGAC